CGATTCGCCGCCAGATCCGAGTCCTCACCTGCCGCCTCGAAGTAGTGCAGCGGCAAGATGACCAGGGGCGCCACCAGGTACAGCTGCGTGTCCACGGCCAGGTACCATGTTTGGCCTATGCACTGGTGACAACAGAGATACCATTGCACAGTTAAATGCTAAACGGGGGATGGGGGTTTTATGATCAAAAGGCACTTCATTGGACGGGTTTCTTTGTTAATATGTTCATCTCTGACGCACATCTCGACTTACGAAGAAGAGACAGGGGCGTGTAAAGGTAAACGTCCTCTTTTTTTATGACATGAAGAAAAGCTGAATAGATAACTTAAGAATCACACTGTACATGGACTGACAATGAAGGAATTATGCATAAACAGACTATCCATGGAACACCTCAGAAAACCCCCAGACCAGAACCCCCCCCCCCCCCCCCACGAATAACACCGAAGGCCTTTTCGCTTCGCCCTCTCCTATATATCCATAAATATTCTCCATCCCTCCGCGAGACCGACACCCCTTCTCTGCGTTGGCACTCACGTCGGCTCCCGCTCCAGGGTCATCCTCCTCCAAGAGAAAGTTGTTGACGAAGACGAGGTCCTTCCACCAGTTCACGACGCAGCCCTTCTGCCAGTAGGCCCAGCTGTCCGCCAGGGGCCCCGTCAGGAAGTAGCGGGCGACGGTGGCGAACAGGCCGGTGGCGAGGGCGATGGGGGGGAGCAATCTGGGAGGGACATTTTCGTGGCTGTTATGTTTTCTGTTTCTGTTATTGTTGTTGTTATTGTTACTATCATTGTCATTATTGTTATCATTATGATTATTCTTGTTATTATTATCATTGTTGTTATTATTATTATTATCATGATTATTATTATCATTGTAGTAGTTACTTTTATTATTATCATTATTATTATTGTTGTCGCTGTGGTTGTTGTTACCATTATTATTATTATCATTATCATTATTATTATCATCATTATTATTATTGTTTTTATTGTTGTTGTTGTTGCTGCTGCTACTGCTGTTGCTGTTACTAGTATTATCATCATCATTATTATTATTGCTTTTTTATTATCATCATCATTATTATTAGTATCACTATGGTTATCATTACCATTATGATTACTACTATCATTATCATTAATAATAATGATAATAATAATCATTATTATCACTACCATTTTTTTTATTATTATTGTTATTATTTTACATAATTTTCTATCCATTCGTTGGTTTATGGCCCTAAGTTTTGGCCCAAAACTTAGTGCGGGTGATATTTGTGTATGTATAACACTCATATTTCGTTGTATTATTCTGTATTGTAACATCAGAGACGTGAAGAATTATTAATTTAGTGATAATGATGTTTTTTTTTCCCAGAGCATTATATCACCGAAATCTGATACCGTAAAATGAGCTGCTACTCTCCGCCATCACGTGACTGTGACGTCACTCAGACAAATCGGTTGGTGTCTGAATTCAAACCCTTTTTTCTATGACGAAGGAAGAGAGGGAGAAGGAGCGATAAAGGAAGGGAAGAGAGAAAGATCAAAGAAGTGACAGAGTAGGATCTTCTGCACGAGAAAGAAGGAAAAGGGGATAAACACGGAAAAAAAGTGCGCTAAAGATGTTAAAAAGGAAATAGGAAAAGTAACGCGATGAAGAATATTACCGCGAAGGAAAGGGGGAAATGGAGGAAAAGTCAGAAAAGAAAATACGGAAAATGAAGGAGAGAGAGGAAAATAAAAATATTAACGGAACGAAAGCAAATCATGAAAAAAATTAGTTCCCTTAACCCACATTACCTGATGAGTTTACGTGAAAAAACAACAAAAACAATAATAATAATAATAATAATAAAAAGGAAATAAAAAAGGAAAAGAAAGAAAAAAAAAGTAAAATCGTCTTAAAAAAAATATACAACTGATGATATTGATCTTGATAATGTTGATAATGATAACAGTAATAATGATGATGATACTACTACTACTACTAATGATAATAATAATAATAATAATAATGATAATAATAATGATAATAACAATAATAATAATGACAATAACAATAATAATAATGATGATAATAATGATAATAACAGCAACAATTATAATAACAATAATTATAATTATAATGATCATAATAATAAGGATGATAATGATAATAATATCGATAAAATAATAATAGTAATTATAATGACAATAATGATGATGATGATGATACTGATGATGATAATGATAACAATAATAATAAAGATAATGATAATAATGATAATGTTAATAATAGTAACAATAATGGTGAGGATCATGATAATAATAATTATGATAATAACAATAATAATATTAAAAGTGATAATAGTAATGATAATAGTAATACTAACGATAATGGTAATAATGATAATAGTGATAATGATAATAATAAAATAATAATAATAATGATAATAATAATAATAATAACAATAACAATGATAACAATTATAGTAATAAACAATGATAATAATAATAATAGTTATAGTA